GCCTAATCTGAAACATGTCTGCGCTGACCATGTCATTAGTACCGATCCATGTCATTAGTACTGATATGAACTCTTTCTCAGTAGCTTGAGCTAAATGAATTACTTGGGGGGACAGGAGTGATTGGTCTTACTACATCAGAAAGGTAATTTCAACCGAATGGCCTGCCAGTTGAGTACAGCAGAAATGAATGCCCCCTATTTGAAGGACTGCGCCGCAAGATGCAAGTCCTTATTGCTAGTGGTTACAGCCCCTGCACATTGAAAATTACTACGGCACACATATACACCGTGACTGCCCTGGTAACACCTCCTGCAGAAAACTGCATCCCTTAAAATGACATCCCTTATAACTATTAAATGCGAAACAAAGGCCCTGTTTTGGAATCAGGGGCCCACAGGAATTGGAACTACTGCAAAGGGGTGTTAAGGTTGCTTGTTACAGCTGCAACAATGCATCAGTGTCAACAATGCCCAAAGAAGGCAGTACAAGTGGGGGCAGCAGGAGGCATTACAGTGGGGGAAGCAGGAGGCAGCACAGAGGGGGAAGCAGGAGGCAGCACAGTGCAGGCATGCAACTGGGAAATCAAAAAAAAAAGAGGAAATTCAAATTTTTCCCAGACTTTGTACTATGTGTTTCTATTTTCAATGGCACACATGGGAAGTAAAAAAAAAAAGGAAATCAGCTGATCTGAGGAAAAGTTGCATGCCTGACAGTGGGGGCAGCAGGAGGCATCACAGTGGGGGCAGCAGGAGGCATCACAGTGGGGGCAGCAGGAGGCAGCACAGTGGGGGCAGCAGGTGGCAGCCCAGTGGGAGAAGCAGGAGGCAGCACAGTTGGGGCAGCAGGAGGCAGCACAGTGGGAGAAGCAGGAGGCAGCACAGTGGGGGCAGCAGGAAGCAGTACAGTGGGAGAAGCAGGAGGCAGCACAGTGGGGGCAGCAGGAGGCAGCACAGTGGGAGAAGCAGGAGGCAGCACAGTGGGGGCAGCAGGTGGCAGCACAGTGGGAGAAGCAGGAGGCAGCACAGTGGGGGCAGCAGGAGGCAACACAGTGGGAGAAGCAGGAGGCAGCACAGAGGGGGCAGCAGGAGGCAGCACAGTGAGGGCAGCAGGAGGCAACATAGTGGGGGCAGCAGGAGGCAACATAGTGGGGGCAGCAGGTGGCAGCACAGTGGGAGAAGCAGGAGGCAGCACAGTTGGGGCAGCAGGAGGCAGTACAGTGGGAGAAGCAGGAGGCAGCACAGTGGGGGCAGCAGGAGGCAGTACAGTGGCAGAAGCAGGAGGCAGCACAGTTGGGGCAGCAAGAGGCAGTACAGTGGGAGAAGCAGGAGGCAGCACAGTGGGGGCACCAGGAGGCAGTACAGTGGGAGAAGCAGGAGACAGCACAGTGGGGGCAGCAGGAGGCAGTACAGTGGGAGAAGCAGGAGGCAGCACAGTGGGGGCAGCAGGAGGAAGCACAGTGGGGGCAGCAGCAGGCAGCACAGAGGGGGCATCGGGAGGCAGCACAGTGGGGGCAGCAGGAGGCAGTACAGTGGGGGCAGCAGGAGGCAGCACAGTGGGGGCAGCAGGAGGCAGCACAGAGGGGGTAGCAGGAGGCAGCACAGAGGGGGTAGCAGGAGGCAGCACAGTGGGGGCAGCAGGGGGCAGCACAGTGGGGGCAGCAGGAGACAACACAGTGGGGGAAGCAGGAGGCAGCACAGTGAAGGCAGCAGGAGGCAGCACAGTGGGGGCAGCAGGAGGCAGCACAGTGGTGGCATCAGGGGGCAGCACAGTGGGGGCAGCAGGAGGTAGGACAGTAGGGGCAGCAGGAGGCAGCACAGTTGGGGCAGCAAGAGGCAGTACAGTGGGAGAAGCAGGAGGCAGCACAGTGGGGGCAGCAGGAGGCAGTACAGTGGGAGAAGCAGGAGGCAGCACAGTTGGGGCAGCAGGAGGCAGTACAGTGGGAGAAGCAGGAGGCAGCACAGTGAGGGCAGCAGGATGCAGCACAGTGGGGGCAGCAGGAGGCAACACAGTGGGGGCAGTAGGAGGCAGTACAGTGGGGGCAGCAGGAGGCAGCACAGTTGGGGCAGCAGGAGGCAGTACAGTGGGGGAAGCAGGAGGCAGCACAGTGAAGGCAGCAGGAGGCAACACAGTGGGGGCAGCAGGAGGCAGCACAACGGGGGCAGCGGGAGGCAGCACAGTGGGTGATGTGGTCATCACTGAAGCAGCCACGGTATTAGCAGGAAGAATACTTGAAAGGATCCGGGCCTTTGCTTTTGATGATCGACGTACCGATTTCCGTGTCATCTTAGCCCCATTAGGCTTAGCGGATTCAACTACCCTTCTTTGTCGAGGCATTGCTTTTCTGACTCGAGATTTCTGCTTGGGATGAAAAAGGTGCTGGAATTTAATACCTTACGGAGACATGAACACAATAGGGAACAAAAGATTGTATACGTCTCCAGAAGAACATTTCTATAGATGAATACGTCTCCACAAGAATTTCACGAAATAGATATATGGATTTTACTCAAAACTAGGAATTTCCAAGGTAGGTTGATCTGTCGCAAATGGAAGAGTTTTAGAAAAGGGATATTTAGTCCAAATTTCAGCTCAGGAAATTAATTCTGGTTAAAATAAGAGCATTTTGAAACTTCAATTTCACACTCGAAAACTTTACTACACGAGAACAAAGAAATGTCTCCACAAGGATACAAATTCCAGAATGGGTGTTGTAACACAATTGTGTGTGTCCCTGCGACTTCATTGTACAGACTAAAGTTGGTGAACTTAAGCAGTCAATCCCGAAGAACTCTGCTAGCAAATCACAGCAATAACAGGCAATAAATTAGCCAGTTAGAGTTACTGCAATTCAAGAAAAAAATCCAAGGCTGAACAACTGAAGACTATGCACATCACCTGATGCAGCTTCACCATACATGCCATAGGTCTAGTACCGTATTCCATAGAGCATGAAACTGCAATTCCAGTCAAAATATGCTCCAACAGGCAAGGCCAAATCACTGCAATTCCAATGAGATTATTACTCCAAAATCAGCCAAATAAATCCCATTGCTTAGGCAGCAGAGATCCAGTCAGCTAAATTCCACGAAAATGTATTCCACAGTGAAAATATCAGCCAGCATATTCCCAGAAATGAAATTTATCCAGCTTGCACAAAAAGCTGTGACAGAATGAGACACACACACACACACACACGTGCATTTTCCCTCCTACACTTTAGCACTGTGTTCTACAACTGTGTCCTGATTGGTCCAATCTTGGAAATGGTTTAACATAATTGGTTAAAACTCCCTGCTGTGATTGGTCAAAACTATTAGTGCCAGGATCCTTCTCAGAATCCTTCTCAGGATCCCAGCTTTTGGAGAAAAGTCAATTTTGCAGGTATTTAAAGGGATACAAAAAAATATTTTTTTGTTAAAGATTTTGTGTGTGTTGTAATAGAGCATTTTATACACCTCACATTATTAAGCTGTTAGAATTTACACACTGGCCCTCATGGCAGTGTTAATTGCAAAATAAGCTGGTTGAAACCATGAGTAGCAGTAAACACATGTTTCCCCAAGTATAATGAATTTTGTCAAAATACATGCATTGTGACAAAATTTCTTACACACATTGTCTCGGTATTATAGTTTTGTTTATGTATTTTTTTATGGCATAAAAATGGCTAAGAAAAGACCGCTTCTTATTATGCGATGACCACTAGACACGTCTAAATTGCGACGTGTTTTAAGCCGATGTCAAGGAACTTACGACGCTTTCAACACATCGCAGGTTTCGAGAAATGGATTATACGACGTGTCGCGAGTTGCGACATTTTACACGTCGTAACTCCGGTTGCGACGTGTCGCAGTGCTTCATGAAATTGGGTGCAGGTCATGCAGGCTCTGGCAGGCCACTACTAGGGCAGAAATAGTTTTCTTTGTTTGTGCATATGTCCCATTACTTTCAAGCAGGGTAGAGACCAAGTATAAAAGTCTGCTGCTTGTGGTTGAGGTGTGGTCATTTTTAGCTGTTCAGCAGGTCGGAGGCACATTTGGGACCTGCCAGACAACTCTACAGACTTTACAGCCTACATTGGGCAATCCAGATTTGTACAGACGACCATTTTGCTCTGGAGCTCGTATTCTCAAAAATGTAAACCCTCCATCGTACATAAACAGCTTTATGACAAAAGTAAACACTGTTCGGTGTATGTAGAGCAAAATCCCAATGCAAGAATTAAGCATCACTCACAACCTAGCAATATTAACAAACACTACATCTAACATGCAAAAAAAACTTCCATCATACCTGAACAGCCCAGTGACAGAATCTAGCATTCATAAATACCTCAGACAGTTTAGCTATTCCTATTGGTCGAGAGCCCGTCACGTGGCCGGTCTTAAACGGATGATAAAGACATGGCTAGCTGGTCTTAAACACTTTTCCAGTGTCACAATAAAATGTGGACTCCTAAAAATCCAGTGCCTCTTACCGTTTCATTGGTTCAACGTTCACAATCCTCACGTAGGTATGCGCAACACTACCAGGGAGTCAGAATTTTATAGTTCTAAATTCAAAACGCAACGCCCCAGGTGCGTTCAGGGCGACATCGCGCAGAACATGCTACGCGCACGTCAATCGCCATAAAAGGGTTGTTTACATCTTACTCGCAAGCTGAACACTCCATTATTTTGCCAGAGGGATGTTTCAAAAAGCATGAAGTGAACTTGTTGAACAAAATCGGGATTTTTTGAACGAATTATTTGATATTTTTTAACCGAAAAGGTATTTATGAATGGAAATAAATATGTGCTCGGTCGGTATTTATCACTCCGTTTAAGACCGCTTAGAGTCTGGGTGCTGATAATTACCCTCGCCTCCGGCTCGGGTAATTATCAGCACCCAGACTCTAAGCGGTCTTAAACGGAGTGATAAAAACCTCTCGAGCACACATTTATTCCCTTAGTATTGACAAACACTCGACAAGGGTTGACTATAGAATGCAAAATGTTACCTGTTACAGCAACTCCTGCCGCTATACCAACAGCTCCATGCACCCCGGCACCTGTGCTTCCACCCACACTCACTTCAGACATGTCAATTAATTCATAGGCACTGTCATTACGATTATCTTCCACCAGAGGAGAATTCACTGTGGATGCAGTAAGTGTACAAGAATTGGCATTAAGCCCAATCAGGATGATTTCCATGATTTGTGAGTATACATGGCCAAGCCAAACCTATTATAAACCCAGTCAAAACCATATGTGATTTTGGTATAATTTAGGGCAAATTTCTGGTTTATAACACTTGAGGCCTACATGATTAGTATTTTAGTTTTCAAACTAACGGTACTTATACTGCACAAGTGATACAAAGAGCAATAAAATGCTGATATGCTGCATGGTGGGTAATTTAACACAAAACAATAACACACCTTAGGTTTGACTACTTTCCCGCTTTCTACTTTTGCTTTAGCCTCCCACTCTCACCCATCATACCCCTATGCAAGATGTATAGCAATCCCCCAGGCAGGTACGTATCTTTTGTTTAAGTCAAAAAAAAGTCTCCGGTTTCTGGTATGGAGCTTGCCCCAAAAGTGGTGCGGCGACGCGTTTTTTTTTTTCCCTACTTTTTTCTTCTTCCCTACTTTTTTCTTCTTCAAATGTCGGCTGATGTTGCAGATGATGCTTTGATCCTTCAGAGTGGAGTTTGAGGTGACTATAGTAAGGTCATAAGGCTTGAGAATTCTGCACTCTTTTATGATCTCAAAATGTGGATAGTCAAGACAAAAATCAGAGAAAACGGTAGTAACATTAGACCATACAGCGACATCGACATTGTGCATGAGCTGCCAGGCTGGTCATTAGTCTGCTCCCTTACATATTGCCCTAATTAAAAAGTGTTTACAGGTTCAAGATACACGACCATTGCTCCCTCAGTCTGGCTTCCAGATGCACCATTACAAAATTACAACACCATCTGCAAATGGTGCCCGACTAAATTTAGTGAAAAATATACGAGTCCAGAGAGGCCACATAAAGCTTATACTCGATCGTAACCCCATCTAAAAACATGTTAAAATTGTGCAGCAGCAGGATTCCAGTCAAACCAGTGAGTTTGGCTGTTTTGAGACATCATTATATATAGAATTTTTTTTTTTTTTTTTTTTTGCCGATGCGCGCCCAGACCGGAGACTTTTGGGGGGGGGGCCCTTATCCAACCTCCAAGGAATTTTGAAAAAGTGCCCCAGGTTCTTTGCCTTGGCACTGCAGGAAAAAACTTTTACCACAGAAGGTTTAATCTAGTGCCATAGTGCTTTTACCTGGTTATCCCAATTCCTGTGACCATCACCAAGCCTTACCTCTTTAGTTTTTCCCAACACACATTTATTTCTGGTAAACAAAATTCCTCTTTAACAAGTGATATATTGCCTTCAAATGTTAACCATTATGTTGCACTGAGATATAATTGAAAGCACCGTACGAATTCAAAAGATGGATGAAACTAATTTAGTAAAAACTACTTTTGAAGACAGATTGGATTATCTTCCCCAAAACCTGAGGTATTGTGTAAGTCTTGAATGGTGTCATTTCTTACCTCTGATTGCGCCTTCTTCTGTGCTTGTACTGCTGCTACTCACTACAGAACCTCTTTTCTCCCAACCTTTAAAAGAAAATGTATTTATCTATAAATCAGGTTTGTTTATCTCACAAACATTGTTTCACAAACACTAAAGCACTAGTTCATAATTAGTTGTTTAGTGCACATGAAAGGGACTGTTAATATGCTTTTGTGCTGAACCCACACACTGGATGAAGTCTATCTGTGTTTGCATATCTCCTCTTCAGACAAACATGTATGTACATGTATAATATACTGTCTGAAGAAAGCAAGACAGAGGGAACGAAAGATCTCTTGTTTTCCTTAAAAATGTATTCTTCTGTTGAGAATGCTCCTCATGGATTGTGTGCTTTTAGGAGAGTGTTATATGAACAAAAAGAAATAAAATGCCTCGTCTTCCTATGTATACATGTAATGGTAATGTACAACTGTGTGTCTGTACTGTACATGTAATGTGTGTGTTAAATAAAAACAAAAATTGAAGAGGGAAAAAAAGGCTGTCCAAAGGGGAAGTTATATGATGAACACCATCAAACCAACCTGTGTCTAACCATATGATATGATCAAACCTGTTTTATTAGATATATCAGGGGTTCACCGCTGTTCCAGAGGCTCACAGCGCGACATTAGGTTTATGCGCATGTGCCAGTTTTTCTGGGTTGTTTTGTAAAATTAATATTCATGAGCATGTTCGTAAAAACAAATCGCTGAGAACGGCCTTCCAAAAAACTGCTCATAATGCAAGAAATAGTTATTGAAGCCATAAGATTTGTCCGAATATAGGTTAAAAAATGAATAACTTGAGCATCTCCATCTAAGATTTTAAATGCCATGTCGTTATTTTCACGAAAAAAAAACCTCCGAAAGCCAGCAACCAGCAAAAAAAAGTGTCCAAAATAAAACTTTTTTCTGTAATCAAGTAAATAAGTTTGAATTAAGACTGCCACGAAAACATCAATGAGACTTTATATTTTGTATTAATGGTGATTTCAAAAGAGAAAACCCCCAAACTCGCCTGCAAATGAGGGGATTCCCTGGTGGGTTTACTGAACACTGACTGTGGTTTTCGCGATTCAACAGCACAGTAAGCGGGGTTCGCGATTCAAACAAGTAGGCCTACCACGCCAACGCGTGATTGGCCGGTGCCCCGCGAGTATACATTTCCAGCGAGGGGGATGTACGCTAGTGCCTGCTATTGGATTTATGCACATATGGTGCCGTTTGTTTACATTCAGTGTACCGGGTATGTATTAAATAGCTACGTACGTGGCTCCATCGAGGTTTTCTCTCTCAAGTCTTCAACAGTAATATTCTCCTTTAAGTAGTCTTTCCAATGGTAATTTACTTGATTCGGAATGAACTTACCCAGATGACGAAAAATCCCACGAAACCTGAATGTTATTTTCCTTCCAATTGAGACATTTATGAACATCGATAAAAATGAAAGGTAATTTTTTGAAGGAGTTTTCTAATCAAATGTCTTGCCGAAAAATTCACAGTCTATCTGACAAAAAATAATTGTCCTTTTTCTGTCAATTTATTGTAATATATCTATTGTAATATATTTATTGTAATATAAAAAAGCGATTGAAAAGACGTCCTCCGGTGAGCTGTTTTTACGCAAAACAAGACTGGAGAAATTCAGTCATAAGAGGGCGTTTCATACGAACTAAAGCATAGACATGCACACAAACCTAATGTTGCCCTGAAAACAGCGGTGGGTTATGGGGGTACAATGAACAAAAACAACAATACAACTCCACAAGGAAATCTCCGTACCCTAAATAATATGCTACATAGTTGAAGGCTTCAATAGAAAAAAAAGAATAGAAGTCGGGACGTAAAGGTTCATAACTAGAGGTTCGTGTTTGTTGAGTTACAAATGCAGAGTGGTCAGGCAGACAATTATTTCATTAAAAAAAATGCAGTCTGATGACATCATGATTTTGAAAACTTGCAAAAATATCTGTGGTTAATCAAAAAATATTAAGGGGCGATTTAGTAAAATATGGACGGATGATTTTCGAATTTAAAAAAAAACAAGTTCTATTAGAGGGCGCTCTTTCAGATGATGACATCATCATACTGGGTTTTTTTTGTATCTGGCATTCCTCACTTAGCAGTTCCATATACATGTAGTAAAATGCTTCTGTTTTAGAGTTAGATTCAATTTTTATTGCACTTCTGGTAACACCGGTTTTGTGCCAGGAATAAGAAAAAAATTTGATTTTAGATGCTCTGTGGTGCAATCTGAGGCAATTACTGGGCACTTTCCTCTGAAATTTTGGAGCAGAATTTGTTTTAATTTTAAGAAGAATTTTGCTTCATTTGTTAAAATGTGCTCTTGTTCTTATAAAGTTTCTTCTGTACTCAAAAGTTGAGAACCATGCATTTTCATGTTACTTTGCTGTATTTGCCATGCTTTGATGTGCTTTGGGTGTTTCACATGGGACACGAGCGATTTTTTTCCACTCCATGCGTAGTTTATAATGTCATTGCAAAAAGGCATTGCCAAAAACCTTGCCAGTGGTTGCTATTTTATTGAAACACTCTTGAAATTCATGCTGATGCCCGTCAATAATAACAGAGTCCCGAAACCATTCCCACCGGAACTTATTTTTCACTTCTTTATCAAGCTCTCGCACTTATAAATCTCCTTGCAACAGGATCGACTTGTTGGGCGCAGCTATGTTGGAAGCATATGTACACAAACACTCTGAGCCGACGCACGTAAAACAATGTGCATAATCCACATGACTGTACTGTAATGTATGCCATTGTGCACGCTGAGTAATATTAGTCAGTACACCTGACCAGCGCAACACATGCATCTCGAATACCGACACAGGAACTACACCTAAATAATCACAACTTCGGACCCGAGCGAAAAATCACATGATCGCACTAACGGCAACGCATGGTCTTCAACTTCGTTCTCACATTGGGTATTCAATATGTGCGTGCGTAAGATACATGTATATCGATCAACGAAGTAATGTCTGTCGGATATTTCGGCAAGCAAAACTCATGAATAATTAATTAGCACATTCTACCCCCCTATTTTCTCAACGGATTCACATGATTCACGTTGGTTGACATTTGAAGCCAAAAAAAAAAACACGGATTTGTGGGGGAAAAAAAATGGAGAAATCATATCCCTGCTTAATGTATATGTGCTTTACAAATTCGTCTTTTTGATGACGTCATCATGACGTCACAAATAATTCCAAATTATGTGCATATACCAATTGCTGAACAAACCTAATACGAAAGGAATTATGAATTTAGCACAATGCGTTCGTGAGATATGGCTTGAGGGTCCAAAACTTCAAAACAATCCTTAAAAAAACTGGGCCTTTTTTGTGTTATTCTTGTGCGAAAATGAATTTTGGGGTCCAATTTTGTGACCCCCAAAATCAGACTGTTCAGGGCTAGTTGTGATTCCAGCCGTAAAGTGTAGCCTTTTGCGGATGTATAAGAAACCACATTTGTGCAATGGTTCCACGTGTAATTTATGTGACATACACAATTGTGTCGTACATTGGATAAAAATGACAGGAAAAACGTATGCGTACTCAGTCGTGTCTGATGTAGCAACCAATTTTTTTCCCGTCTTTTCTTGGGAACAGTAAGACATTAGGTTAGTGTCCTTTCAACTTGACCTTGTAATTAGTTTAAGTAAACAATCCAAAACATGACATTTTCGGGGATTTCAGGACTTACTGCCTCTTTAATATTATGCTAATTTTGTCGTGCAGTAACAAATGTTAACCCTAAACTCCCCAACTTCATCAAAATCCATCCTTCCATTTCAGTGGATATTGGAAGACTTGGTCCTGCAGGCTTGGTTTGACTAAATGTTGATGGAGTATGATGGACTTGGGCCTGACGGCCTGAAGCAGTGCTAGGGGAATCCGCTTGAATATTGCCTAGCATCCTGTACTGCTGTTGTCATATAGCCATGTGTACTAAGTCCACCAGTACTTCATCAGTGGTGGATTCCATTACATGTACGTCATGTATTGGAAGCAGATTGAGTGATGTATTTTTGCCAACTTGGTCCTCTACTTAAGACAGTTGGTAGTTAGGGTTATGACAAAAACAAAGTCATAGTGATGTCCCTTTGCACAAAAGACACATTTTGTACACTCTTTGTACACATCAAGATGCATGATGATTGGATCATGCAATGTGTGTGTTTCAAAGAGTCAAATTCTAACCAAATTACCTTTCTGTATGGGAGCAGAATTTTGTTTTGGTGTTGAGGGTGGGGGTTTTGCTTTGTTTTGTATTTTTATTTTATTTTTTAATGGGGGGGGGGGAGACATATAGGTACATGTACTGTCTGTATCTGGTAAATAAGGTGACATTCACAAAGCGTATACATAAATAGCACAACATTGAAAAACCACAGGCACATAACACTAGCTAATTGTAAAGCTTACTCTCTTTTCCATGCAAATTAATGGCCAGCATGAATAGACAAAGTAGAAAAATAGACAAGAAATGGCAGCCTATTAGTCATTTTCATGTGGAAAAACTGCTCTTAAAACAATAAAAAAAAATTATAATAAATATCACATGCACAGCACAGTCGACTCCTGTTAGTACAAGATCCACGGGACTTACGTGTAATCAAAATGTGTGTTGTATCCAAATTTCGTATAATCCGATGCAATAGTTTCCAAAACATTGTTCACCATTGTGTAAGCCCTATGAACGTGCATGATGTTCACGTGCGTAATCAACACAAAATAGAAAATCGTATCGGGTATGTAGTATTATCAAACAAAATAAAAAAACCCAAACTATGGTGTTTGGTTGTCCACGAGGGGACTACTTACCTGTTGGACCTACAAATGCACATTTCCTTAACTATGTAAATTAACCGCTAAAGTAAAGATTTGCTATAGCGTGCCACAGCACCCTCCTGCGCCAGCGCCCACAATAATCAGAGCCCCCGCCATTATCGTCCTCTTTCTTTAGCGCGAGTGAATCACACCAAAGGAGGAGCCCACTGTGGGGAAAGGCGGGCGGGACGGTCCAACAGGTAAGTAGTCCCCTCGTGGACAACCAAACACCATAGTTTGGGGGTTGTCCACTTCGTGTCCTACTTACCTGTTGGACATACAAATGCATAGACTGGCACCGAAATTGGTGGTGGGAGTGGGCTGCAATTGAGTCAAAGAAGGACACACAAATAAGGAATCCCCTCATGGACTACACAGAGGCACATTACAAACTACCATGAGCCTTACTCACCCTACTGTTGAGTTGTTGGTACAACAGCCTGGGTTGAGACCTCTTTGGAGGGTTGTCTTGGGGCAGCTGATGGCATGGTGGCTGACATTGTCACCCGCCCAGTCCGCCCCTCTGTTAAGAGGACATCTCTCAGGTAACATGACGAAAAGGTCGTTGCTGTTTTCCAACATGCTGCCTGCATTATATCTTCCACAGGAACACCCCGCAATAGTGCCCATGACGTTGTGACCGCCCTTGTATCATGAGCATGAATCGTCCGACGGGATTCGTTCCGAGGACTGTCTGGCATTTGGGATCGGATAGCTGTAACTATCCATCGAGAAATTGTGTCACGGGATGCTGGGCGGTGGGGAGGAGTCGAAGTTATAAACAGTTGAGACTCCCCACCGCGGATGGGTTTTGTGCGAGCTATGTACCATTTTAGAGCTCCAACTGGGCACCATTTCTTATCTTCGGGGACCGAAGATAATGATTTCAATTCAGGAACAAAGTTGTCCGGAGGCTGGAAGTTAGGAGACTGGTTTTTAGTAAGGAAAGTACTTCGAGGGATGAGACATACTCCGTGAGGCTCCCATCTTATGTGTCCCTTGTCCAGGGTCACTGCATGGAGCTCGCTCCGTCTCCTAGCTGTTGCAGCAGTGAGGAGGAAAGCTACCTTGACTGACAGATCCAACAAGGGTACCGTCGCAAGAGGTTCATAGGGCGGGTTTGCCAGATTACGCAGGACCTCTCCTAAATCCCATGCTGGGGCAAGTTTACGTTGAGGAGGACGCTTTGTAAACATGCCTTTGAGCAGTTGACCTAGTGCCAGGTTGTTTGATACAGAGGAGCCATCTTGAAAACCTTGATGCACTGCAGCAATGGCCGACTTGTAATTTTTTACTGTGGCCAATGTAAGCCCTGTATTAAACAGGTGGAGGAGGAAGTCCCCAACCATGGTTACAGATGCAGAGAGGGGATCCACGTCCCTCCCGTCGCACCACCTAAAAAAATGTCGGAGTCGGCTTTTATATGTCTTCCTTGTAGACGATCTCCGCCACAGGCTGCCAAGGTGGCAGCTTCCTCAGAAAGGCCTGCTGTTCACATTGAATGCTGGACAATAGCCAACAGGTCAGGCGTAGTGACTCCGGATCCGGGTGGTTCAACTTGGGCCGGGTCTGTTTCAGTATATCTGGTCTCTGCGGGAGGATGATGGGCTGATGAACCAGCAACCTGATCATCGTTTGGAACCAGGTTTGGCGAGGCCAAAATGGAGCTATGAGCATCACCTTGCGTATCTTGTGCAGTACCCTCGAGAGAATTGAGATCGGTGGGTATGCATATGCGTACATGCCTGTCCAGTCGATTGTTAAGGCATCGACTGCCCAGGCTTTCGGATCCACGACTCGAGTGCAGTATACCGGCAATTGGTTGTTCAGCGATGACGCGAATAGATCTATGTTGGGACGATCCATTGAATTGAACAGTGTTTGGACAACTTTTGGGTGTAGTTGCCATTCTGTTGGAAGGATCTTTCCTCTGGACAGCGCGTCTGCCGTGACATTCAACTCGCCTGGTATGTGACATGCCACAAGAGTTACGTTGTGATCTATGCACCAAAGGAGTAGCTTCCAAGTCTGGAAGCACAGCTGGGGGGAACGTGTTCCTCCTTGGCGATTTATGTAGGCCACTACAGTTGAGTTGTCGGATTGCACCATTACAACCTTCTGTTCGACTAGGCTGATGAGCTGGGATAAGGCTCTGCAAACTGCAGAACATTGATGTGGAAAATCAGTTCGTCTGGCGTCCAAAGACCTGACACTTGCTGTGACTGCAGATGCGCACCCCATCCCATGTTGGACGCATCTGTCGTAAAAGTCACCGTGGGAAGTGGAGGAGGAAAAGGCAAACCTTGACTCAGGTTGCTCCAAATTGTCCACCAATGAATGTGGGGGATGATTGGCTTCAGTATTGGTATGCTCCTTGACAAAGGATGTTGACTGGGTCGAAAATGAGCCAAAAGATGCATTTGAATTGGCCGCATCCTCAGGCGACACCATGGGACTAGATCGACCAGACTGGCCATTAGGCCCAGCAGTCGTAGCCAGGCCACCGCTGGTGCTGATCGAGCCGTCAGGAACAGTGTGGCGCACTCCTGGACATTGTGTACTCGTTCGCTCGAAGGGTTAGCGATCCCTGTTACCAGGTAGATTTCTGCCCCTAGAAAAGATGGTGTCTGGGTGGGGACCAGATGAGACTTTTCCAAGTTTATCAGAAACCCTAACCTTGTCGTCAAGTCGACGGTTACTTCTAAGGACTGTCGAACTTCCTCTTTGGACCTGCCTACGATTAACCAATCGTCCAGGTAGAGGAATATCATTATATTTGCTCTTCGAAGTATTGTTGCCAGGGTCTTTGTTACTCTGGTGAAGACCCTTGGTGATGTTGACAGACCGAACGGAAGAGTGAGGAACTGGAAAATTGTATTTTTGTATTGAAAACGAAGGTATTTTCTGTGTTCCTTGCAAATGGGTACGTGAAGATAAGCATCCTGATAAGCAGATCTATTGATGCGGCCCAGGATGGTGTTGGAAGAGAATTTAAGACGGTGCGCAGGGTCTCCATACGGAACCGCCATGGACGAATAAACCTGTTCAACGGCTTTAGGTTCAGAATAGGACGCCACTCGCCTTGCTTCTTCTTGGGTGTAAGGAAGAATGTCGACATGAAACCTGATGTTTCTACTGGACTTTGTACCGGTTGAATTGCTTGCTTTGATAGCAGGGTTTTTATTTCTTTCTCCAATGCCCTCCGCTGTTCTCTGTCTGATGGAACAGGGGTGGGACGTGAGAACATTACCGATGGAGGAGTGCTCGTAAACTCGAGGTTGTACCCCTGTGTGACTGTCTGAAGCACCCACCCATCGGTGCAAAAGTGGGCCCAAGTCTCCCCGAATTGCCTTAAGTGGCCCCCCACGGGCCCAATCTGGGGGGCCACGGATGGAGAACCAGCGTCACAGACGCCACCCCCGACCCGCTCAAGAAGAATTCTGGCAGGAGGGAAACCGCGTGCCACGACCTCTTGAGGTTGGCCAGCCAAAACTTCGTCCGAAGTTGTCTGCGATGTTGTTGCGGCTTTTGCTGGTGTTGCTCGAGCCACAGTGGTTGATTGGGTAGACTTGGGTGTCCGAAAGGAGGGCAAAGGTTTTCTAAACCCTTTGGCCCTATTCGAAGTAGTCGGGACCTTAGCTGTTGGTTGTGACTTCTTCCGAGGGGCCTGTAAATTAATACGGTCTGTTGCTTCTAGACGTTTGGCCTCGGCCTCCATCATCGTCTGGAACTGATCCGCAAACAAATCCTTGCTCCATAAAGGAAGGGCCTCCATGCGTTTTCTCGCCCCTTCTGAAGGGAAGAAGATCGTTTCTAGAACATTGGAACGTCTGGAGACCGTGGCAAGTACAGAGAACCTAGCAAATTGGTCTAGGATGATGCGTAATCCATCCTCCAGACATTGAAAGGCATTGACAGCCATTGTAGGAGAAACACTGGAACCGGAATCACATGCAGTAACCAAGTATTCTGACAAAAGAAGCATAAATGAAGTCGTTTGCAGACCCATGCGGGATGCTGCATCAACCTTATGTAATGCCTCTTCAAGCTTACTCCGGACAGGATCGGCAAAGGGAACTTTAAGTGATTGTTTCCCTGTATCTGCCCCCATCTTGTCCTTTGCATTGTCTGGGATAACCAGAACTGTTAAAAATTCTTCAGTATCCTGCTTTGGAACCCGAAAGGGATGACATGCTGCCTTGGCAAAGGGTTGCCATTTTTTTCTGAGCAGCTATTGTTTTAAGACGGTTAGAAAAAAACCTGTACACCGGGAATTCCGGAAAGGTTGACTTCGGGGAATCCCGCTCTGGTACACCTGTGCGTTTCTTAAAACTAGGCCGTGTACCTTGTGAAGATTCTGATTGTTCAGGAATGGGAATCTTTAATATACGAACCATATCCCACATCACTTCACGAAATCTATTATCGGTAGTCTCATAAGGATGACTCCCGGAAGAATCCATGTCGGATGGCCGATCCATCGAAGATGGACCCGGCCGGGACTCGAGGTTAGCCTTAGTTGTTGCCTCGTGTGTATCTACAGCTGCAGAATGAGTAGGTGAAGGTCTCTTGGCGTCTCTGCGCGTAGCGCGGTTGACGTCCGAGTCCGACTCTTGCAATGAATCAGACGGGTGAATAGAAATAGCGCCGCCTGATTCCCGGTCAAATTCCCGATCTTCGGCCTCAGCTCAAGGGGAAATTGGGAGTTGTTGTGGCGCCAATGCCGCCAACTGAGCCGACAAAGCCTGAAAACCTTTCAGAAAACCTTTCAGCAATAAATCCGATGTATTGTCTCTCCGTCCGCGTTTGCGATGACGTGGGTGGTCCGATGACTGGCCAGAAGTCGGCGACGTACTGGCACTGTCGCTCGTTGAAGAGCTAGAATAACGGCGGCGGCGGGATTTATGGGCCCGGCGCCGTTTATTCTTGGGCCGTGATCGATGTTGCGATCCACTGTGACGAGCCATTAAATCAGAAATTCCCGAAGGAACGTCCGAAAGAACCCCGGGTGCCACCCCCCGCTCTGGGTTTGACCGGGCGCGGGTGCCGGGTTAAACGCGGCGGCTGTCAGACCGATAGGGCCCGGTTCCGCTCGGTTCCCCAGACCAACGTTCGGGGCCGAACGTTAACGCGATGGGCCGATCGGTTTTTGTTTCTTCGGGTTTGTGCCCTCAACCGGTGGCTGAGGACAATCCGGGGAATCCTCTTCGGAGCAATCTGCTCTCGGGGAAATCCTGGCGTCGGTCGCCGGGATTGCCGACGTAGACCGATGTTTTTCTCGGTTTGCTGACTCATCAGCCCGGGAGCTTGCAGACTTCCGTCTGGCCCCGGTTTGTACCGAGTCAGGGCCGGTGGTTTTCGGCGCATCGCGCCCACTACTAGTCCTTTTCCTTCCCTTATGGGGACTGGCCTGCGACACTTCCGTGCCCGAAACCTGTCCCCGGGAAAGACATGCGGCACTGGAACCCTCGGCCATCGGCCTGGCTCCAGTCCGCGAAAGCCCCGTCGCGCGTCCGATAGGATAGGTAAAACCAATACCAGGAACGGACCGCGGTGGCTCCGTACTTACCCGCTTCGATGACTTCTTTTTCTTTCCAGAAGTGGTCGAAGCTTCACTTCTTGCCGAGTCTGTAGATTTCGCTAGCCAGGTGTCAATCTTCGTCCACATTTCGGAGCCCCATGACTCGCAAATGGCACACCTAAGAGCTCTAGAACATGGCCTACACTTAGGACATAATTCGTGGGAGTCGTCTAGGCTATTCGGCAAAATCTTGTGACATTTATCACAAGTCACGAAATTTTTGGGAGGCATTTTAATCAAAGACCCTAAAAACCAGAACAGTCTCAGAACTATAGTAGGATTTTCTTCAAACTGTTAGGATAAAAAAATACAAACACATACGTATTCTTTAATGTACAATGTATACACGCAAAAACACGAGGTCATAAAACGGTTTAATAAAAACGTTTATAAAACTCGTCCAAAAAACCAACAAATGTAACCAGAAACACACCTAGTGCTTCCGAGAAACAAATGTATTGCAAATCTTGAGAAAATTAATAACAAATAGCGATTACATCCAGTAGAAACATGCATGCTACTGTGAGCATTGAAAAACACGTCCTACTGTCACGAGCGCTAAAGAAAAAGAGGACGATAATGGCGGTGGCTCTGACTATTGTGGGCGCTGGCGCAGGAGGGCGCTGTGGCACGCTATAGCAAATCTTTACTTTAGCGGTTAATTTACATAGTTAAGGAAATATGCATTTGTAGGTCCAACAGGTAAGTAGGACACGAAGTGGACTAAAAAGAACTGTTTGTGAAAATGTGTAAAAGGTACGGTACATATATTCCTATTATCATAAGTAAATACCAAAAAAAACCTTTAAAATGTAATAAAAAGACCATCAGACCTTGGTTCATTTCTACATGTAATTTTCACGTGCTGATCCACAATCCAAACTTGTTTGCTTGCTTGGTCAGTTGATGAGAAAGCGCCCTCATGAGACAGTCTCCTGAGCAATGATGTCATAATGGTACATCGTGATTGCATGGTGTGTGCCGTAAAGTTTTTGTTTCATTCGTTATTTTTATTTGCCAATGCGCCAATCTCTTTTTTTTAACTGAAAAAAGCCATTTGAATTTGTTTGGTTGACTTCAAACAACTTCAACGATCCGCGTAGATCTTGTTGTCCATGTCAGCAAGGGTGCAGAAGATGTCACTTTAAATAGGCTACTTCTGTTTTTGCTTTCCCGGCTTGTGGTTTCTTGTGTTTCCTTCTGGGCCTCATTGTATCATGGTATCATCAGCATGCTTTGATAACAGGCCTTTGTTGCTAACCACAGTGCGCGATTAGTGATTGTACCACAGTGTGGGCAAGATTAAACAAAGCTGACTTGAACCTATTGATGACTAATTATGCTGCTTTCAGATTAGGTCTGAAAGAAAGGAAAAAAGCCATGAAGTTAGTAAGCTTTTGTGGTTTTCAAAACTTTGTAATAAATGGGTCACTAACAATGCTTTACATGCCAGGGGGTCGCCAAAACTTTTCGTTATAACAGAACAATTTTACTACCCAATTTTGGCTTCAGCAAATTTCCTCCATAGATACCTGTACAATTTTGCAGGGACCGAAGATATTCCTTCGTTATAACCAGGATTTTGTCTTATCTGATTTTGCACTAACGGGAGTCGACTGTATAACTATTTTGTTGGTAACATGTGAGAGTGACATCATTTCAATACAAACCACGCACACTCACGTGGACTAGTTCTAACCATAATCTGTAGAAAATGCATTGCTGATTTGCAGTATTTGTTTTTGGCGGTACATTCAAGCCAGCAACAAGCTTCAAGCCTTTCATAAAGTGCGCTTTCAGTCTATTTGGAGTCATTTGCATCATCCTATGTCCACAAATTGGATTTCCATTGCTACCCTGTGTCCATGCTGTGATTTGAACCGCTAGGGTTATCTGAGGACATTTGTCTGAGGGCATGGAATAGGTAACCTGTGATAAAAAATAATCCCGGGACCTGGGCCAAGTCCTCAGAAGGTCATTGTTCAAACCTTATGGGATATGTTGGGAAAAACTGTAAATCCAAACACTTAGAACAAAAGAAGGCAACAATAAGAGTCCTCAGTTGTACAGTAAAATCAGACATCTACTACTATTGTCCATAGGGTGTATTTATATAGTTAACATCGTGGTCTAAATACAGGTGTGCGACAGACACAAAACAGACTGAAAACAAGCTTATGAATGGCATGTACAGCCTATAACTGATATGTGATGCTTACATCTATGTACATATCCGTCTGGTAAATGCAGCTGAAATTGGTGAAAATACTGCACACATAATATATTTAATTTGTAAAAAATACCACTTCCATCATACATTGCTTCATCATCTGTTTGTTTGTTTGTTTGTTTGTTGTACTTCGTGGCATCTATCAGCATCATATACAGCCATTTGGAAAGCATTCAGACTGCATTATCACTAGAAGCCCCCCTCTCCCTTAAAACAAATCTTCCTGTCAGAATGGTAAAAGTGCCATGCACATTACAGACTCCCCATACAAACGTAGTAAGAATACTGTGCAAAATGTTTTGAATTATTGATAACTGTGCAAGATGCTACACAAATTGTGCAAAACAATGCGCATACATGTATATCAACATGTATGAACTGTTTATATCACTTTTACTGTTTGAGGGGATAATTCTTTGTAAACACTGAAATATAAGCAGCTCACCTATAGCAGCAATAAAATTATCCTCATTGAGACTATGTGTTTCAGGAATGGCAGCCATGCTGCCACCATGCTGTTCATCTGGTGTGACAACCACTGAACCCTCAATGGCATAAGCACTCTCACTTCTAATCCCATCACCATGCAAATGAGCTTTCTTGCCTTTATCAGGTTCCTTTCCAAAGTAGTGTGTGTGAGCAATCTCAAGGAGGGCATATGCACTGGCAAATCCTCCTATTGGCTGGGTATAGAAAGAGTATTCCAGTCCGGCAATCACAGCCTTCAAGACAGATACAATCCCCTTATACACTGCTTTGCTCACTTGCTGTGAAAGAGAGAGAGGGAACAATGCCATTTACTATTAAAACAACCAAAACATACACAACTGCAGATTAATTCAATCAATTCAGATGCAGTTATTCGTCAGTCATTCATCAGTCATTCATAAATATTTGATACAGTTTACCCATTCTAATTGGTCGAGAGACAGTCACGTGGGTGGTTTTAAACCGCTGATAAAACACTGGTAGGAAGTGTTTAAAACCAGCCAGACACAAACATGGCCCCTGAACAGGGCTCGAATTTCATGAAAAAAAACCCACTAGACAGCAGGTCTAGTAACCGAAGAATCTTACTGGACCTGAACTATTTTTACAAGACCTGTGTCATAAATAAGGAAAAAAAAACATTTTGCACTACATGTATGTGACAGGAAGACAACAAAATGCTACATGTATTTACGAGTTGCCCGTTTCGTGTGTGCACTTGGCTAGTTCCCTGGAAAATTAGTCTAATTCTCTTGCAGGGGCACAGCAGTCCTTCATTTAAAGAAAATCCAGGAGAGCTATATATGCTCTCCTCAAATCTTTGAGGAGAGCAAATGTATTTTAAGGAGAGCGATTTGCTCTCCTTGAAATCCATGGATAAACGATGGTAAACATTGTTTTTGTTTTGTTTTGAATATCAGGATTTATTCAAGGGGCTGCATTATTATTACTAGTTTTGGCATGATAATATGCTTAAGTGGCTTATTAAACTTCTTTCATTTTTGTAACTGTAAGACAAGGTAAAATTTATATAAAAAAAATAACTAAATGGAGATTAATAAAAGGTTTGAATTCTGCTTACGCTTTCATTTTTTAATACAGTTGTCAGTTGGTTCATCACTTAATTATTCTTGGAAAATGGAGTTAATAAACTGCACATATACATGACACAGCAACTGAATATTTGTTTTCAGATTTGTTAAAATTATATGAAAATGTTCAGTCTGAACTATTTCCATTGCACTACGAAAGCTATACAAAAAGGGCCTCAAAAATGACGAAAACTTGCCTTAAGTGTTAACGAAAATATATGCCGTTGATAATCTAAAAAAATAATAGAAAATGCAGGTCATTTATACCATATGCTCAATGCTAGTTACGAGGAGAAACTGGCTAACAATGTCTGAACTTCGCTTAGTACGAACGTGCGATGATAAACTGTGTGTTGTGGACCGGCAGTGGGCCGGCATTGAGCTTCGTTTATCGGTATGTGATTTCGGTGAAACTCGCTGCATCGTTTCACTTCATATACCAGTAGTATTTCCTCGAAATAAATTATGAACACAGGAAATACATACACAGACAAGAGAGATCAAGTTCTGTGAGTATAGTCCAGCGGATATGTGAAAAAATTGTGCACTTTTGCATAAAAGCATGAAACTTGGCACAGATCTTTGTAATCATGTGAGAAAATGTTTTTATGTGGAGCCATCGCAAATGTACCCTTTTAGGGGCGTGGCATTAATTTAAGAAAAGGGGGGGTGGGACTTGTCGTGCCCAAAGTGAAAACGGTTGTTCCCACTTGTTACAAAAGCAGGAAACTACAGAAAGACATAATTATATAGATTATAAATGTTTTCCAGACTTGGAGCTACCACAAAAGTACCTTTTGGGGGGCGTGGCAGCCATTTAAAAAAAAAGGGGGGGGGTAAATTATTATGACCACCTTATAAAATATTGTGCCCATATTTCATGAACGAATAAAACGTCCCCCAGACGTTTATGTTCATGAGAAAAAAAATTCCAGATGTAGAGCCATCTCGAACACAACCTTTTGGGGCGTGGCAACCATATTATGAAAAAAGGGGGGCGGGGTTTTCATAATGTCCACCATGGAAATATTGTTCCCACATTCACAGAGAAATGGAACTTTCCACAGACATCGACATTCATGAGAAAAAAAATTCCAGATGTAGAGCCATCACGAATACACCCTTTTAGGGGCGTGGCAACCATATTAGCAAAAAAGGGGGGCGGGGTTTTCATAATGTCCACCATGGAAATATTTTTCCCACATTCACAGAGAAATGGAACTTTCCACAGACATTGACATTCATGAGAAAAAAAATTCAAGATGTGGAGCCATCACGAATACACCCTTTGAGGGGCGTGGCAGCCATATTGAAAAAAAGGGGGCGGGGCTCTCATTATGCCCACCATGGGAAAAATGTGCCCATATCTCATTAACGAATGAAGCTAATTCCCACAGATATTAATATTCACCAGAAAAAAAAAAACTCAGACGTGGAACCATAGCAAACACACCATTTTAGGGGCGTGGCAGCCATGGTAATATGGGGGGGGGGGTAGTCTTGATGCCCCTATAAAAAAAAGTTGTGCCTACCTTCCATAAATGGATTTAACTCCACACAGCAATATATATATGAGAATCTTTCTTTTTTTTGAATGTGAAGCCATCACAAACTTACCCTTTTAGAGGCATGGCATCCATTTTCAAAATGGGGGGAGGGGGGGGATACTCAATATGTCCACCGTGGACAATTTTGACCGCTTTTCTTATAATAAAATCTACCTCCGATAGCTCTTCTAATGTGTTGGAGTAGGGACGCCTTTACAGTTGGAAATGTTGGCAAACCCTTTTTTTCTTACACTCTTGCCTCATCTATATCAACCCAGTTACTGGTTCTGTCGTCTGTAGAATTATTATTAACCTCTCAACTGTAGCAATTTCTGAATTGGGGTATAAAAGGGGGTACCTCAGTTAGTCTTTTAAAGACTAGTGTTACTTCTTCAAGTACATTGTGTTTCCCATACCTTTTTTGTGACAGACCCAAAGGCAGCAGTGTCGCTACTGATTTGTGTAATGGATGTGGTTGGGGAAAAAAAAAACCCACTTATCAGAGCTTGATATACCATTTCTAAGAGAATGGCGGGGTTGTATGATGGGGGTACACAGATTCATTGAATGTGAAGTCATAGTGGACGTGACCACCACGGTGAGGAGAGTACATCGTGTTGTGACCCAACCTAGTGTCAATGCGGCGCAACGGAAAGGGGGTAGGGGGATTTTGCAACCTTCCCCCCCAAAAAAAAAACCCCAGATAACGAACAAATAAAAAAATAAAATGAAAGTCAATATTTAACTTCACATTTAACGTATATTAAAGACTATCGAAAACCCTAAACTGAACAGTGTCTTCCTGAAATGACATCACAGTAACAGCGTTATTCCGGAAAAGCATGGAAACTTTTAAATGTTTAAAGAAGTGCACATTTGCAATAAGATCAACCCAAAAAGTGTTGTAAAATGTGTATAGTTTTCTTACATTTCACATGCAGAGTTGTGCAAAAAGAATTCCTGATAAAAATTCATTGCACATACCCTTTAATTAAGAAAGAAACTCAATCTATATAGTCATCAAATATGATAAGGAATACGGACATGTATGAAGTCTTAAAAGATGTTTGACAAAATGTGAAATATGTTTGCCCATTAATGAAAACAAATGCCCGATCAACCCCTTACTAATGGTTTAGACGAAATTGAATGAACAACGCGTTACTTTTAATATGAAGGCATCTTTTGCAGGGACGAGTGAAGCTAAAAGTCGATAGAATGCTTGGATAGTGAAATTGAATGATTATTTTTGATTGTCGAATGCCGATCTGCGTGATCTTTCAATTTCAATCTAGATCGAATGAGCCAGGCATTAAATTGAATGAAAACCTTGGTGAAATTGTTCGGGAAAACCTATAGTTGTAGAAACATGATCCTTTATTGTGAGGTTGGACTTCCCGAAAGACGTGAAATTTGGTTTACTTATATTTAGCGGTTTGAAGAAGTTGCATCGTTTTGTATTTTCCCACACGCTCTCGCCGGGAAAAAAATGCCCCACCCATCAGTAGCCCCTTTAAAATGCACTGTCACCATGGATATACAGTTGCCTAGCAACACCATGTCGGTAGGCAGTTGCAGTTACATGTATTCTCAATTGACATCGGTCTGCAAACTCCACCCTTATTTGCATAATCATAAATATGCATTGGCCACACTCTAAAAAGCATAATTCGTTGATAATATCTAAAATAACAATGATTGATTGAACATTTCAGACTTTATGTGTACAAAATTTAAGAAACATAGTGCAGAACCACTAATGATGACATCTGTTGCACTATCCTGGACATTTTGGTGCAAAAAATGAATTTCACGTTTTGTTACTGTGACTGGAAAGGTGTACTGTATGATATAGATTCCGAAACCACTATCGCACACTTCAGCAGATGCCATGAGATCTTAAGTCAAGGGTCTGGTGTGGTCATTGACCGTATCACCCGTCGTGTTTGGGGTACACGACTTAATACGTCCCCACGCAGATTAGTTGTCAGCAATTTTTTTTTAGGCGAACGAAAGAGTAGATCCCATGCAATTCACGCCTGTTATAATACCTTGAAAATTAAAATGAATAAAATATCGATATATCGATATAAAAAAAAAACGATATATCGGTATCGGCCAAAATACGATATCGACGGTGCCTACGGAGATCCCAGAATAACCACATTAAATCACCTTGATCTAACTGTTTTATTGTTTAAACCTAAATATAATTGTGTTATTGTTTAAATCAAAACATACATTGTGGCCATGTCCTCTTTGAACTGAAAAAAAAGTAGTCTTACAAAGGAGTTTTTTTGTTGACATCAAAAATTTGAATCATGCATCTGAAAACTTTCATTTTACATCCAAGTTGTGAAATAATATAAATGGGTTTTAAACTGAATCAGAAAATTGGCACACTAGATCTTGTGCACTGCCCCAAGCAATAGATTCCAAACATCATTTTGACCTTTTGCAAAGCTTGGGTTATGATAGTTGAAAGCAGTATACAGAATTAACGTTCAGTGAAGTGACAATGGACAGAATTATGACAATGGACACAGACAATATCTCATTCCAGGAGCTTGGCGCATGGCAAGTAAGACAAAGTAGAGACAAATAAAAAGGTTACCGAAATATTCCAAATGAAGTCTTACCGTGTCTTCGATGTAATCATCTAGTACTGTTGTATTCTCTTGTGGGGATAGCTGACTTATAACCTGCGCTCTCATATTCTCACTCTGCATTAACTTCTTGAGGCGAGACCAGTTGAGCCAACCTACATTGTTGCCTTCAAGCACCCCTCTGGTGATCTCTTTGATAAAAAGTTGGTCATCACTGAGTGCATAAAGAAACAGAATTACATAATGTAAACTACCTAACATTCAACATGCAAATTATTGATATTCTGGAAGTATTACCCATGACAGAGAAATACATGTAATGCCAGTGACAAACTTGCACTGTTTATTTAGTCTCATTATATCATATGTTGAGGTTTTTACAGATCTCAATGCCTGTTGCATAAATTAGATAATTGAATAAAGAATGAAAGCAATGCATGCATGGATGCATTTAAGAACCATGCAAACAGACTGTAGCAAGTGACTTTCAAAATTGATTACTCCAAATCTACACGCCTACCGGCGGTTGGCAATGAAAGTCATTTGCTGTAACACTGCAGTGCTAGAAATCAGAACAACATACATTTGAAAACAAATTGTGCATCTTGTCTAAATTCACCATGATTAGTAGTCTTTTACAATACACTCTGCCAAAATCAATAAGAAAATACAAGTGCACATACAATGTATAATGAAAGGAACTAGGGAGCCGTGTGTTGTATAGTCAATTGACTCCTACCGGGCACAATAGCACAATCAGATTCAGAAATAGTCAAATTAAAATAAGATCAAGTGTATTATATCATATATATATATATACATGTATGTCAGTTCATTAATATCACTGTAGACAGAAAGTAAAAGGCTAAATGGAATGACAGTTAAGTAATATTGGTGAAAAAAGGTACAAGATGGACAGAGAGGCCATACACATGTATTTCACAATGAGCTCTCAAATAGGATAGTGCAACAAAGAACAAGCTTTGTTTTCTGATGCAAGTTGTTGTGTGGGGGAGATGTAAATCCAATACTGGGTTTGCCCTTCACCAACGTAATTCCATAGGAGCCAAGTGCTTTTATGGGGCTTGTTATAAGTAATATACAAGCGTTTGGGACCTGAACCACAACCTCAAAGGACCACAAAGGAGGTCATGGGCTCCATTTTGTTCTTGTAAACCCCCAGGAAAGCCCCAGTGTGCAGTGCTTTTGAAATGACGTGAGTGAAGGGCAAAACCCAATACATACAATCATCTTGTAAAAAAAGAAAATGCAAATATGGTATGTGTGTACATGAATATTTTCAACAAATACTATTCAAAGAAGAAAAAAAGTACCAAAATATACATATATCAAGCTGCATTCCTTTATTTGGCGTCTCCATTTGAGGTCAGTAAATTGATTAATAGTCATAGAGTTGATTACATGCAATTTTTGCAAAAGTACAAGATCTACATTTCTTTATACATGTATTCATCTGTTGAACATATTGGGAAGATATTGGAAAGGTCTGCAGGTTTATGACCTTGGGTACCTGAAATGATATTTTGTTAAAAACAACAAAAAGTTGGTAAACTGCATCACTGTTTCCAAGAACCTTGTGGAACATGTTTGGGGAGCTGGGAAGGTGGGGTTACAAAAAAGGACACTATTCATCCAACATCCTTCAATTATGTTCCAGACAATAATTGATAGCAGACCGACATAAGTTATAGAATGTAGTTTCAAATCCACTAAAAATAGAGAATTTTGGACAGGGAAGTACATGATTGGACTCCTGTTTTGGTTCCATTTCGATGATATTTTCATTGGAGGGTTGACTGGGCAGCATTGTGTGTGCTTGCACGTCATGCATCATGTTTCATGGCGGTGTTTCCCTAAAAATGTTGACATGAAATTGTTTGATCAGCATGTAAAATACAAAAGCTAAATGTCCCATGGAAACATACATGTACGTGTGGTACACACGCTGCCTATTCTTCCATTAAGTTTGGTTGATTTTTTTTTTAGGGACAATTAACTATCAGCGTTCAGAAGTATCTAGGATACTGGTAAAATTGGAGGGGCGGGGGATTCTGAAAACTTTGAAGTGCACCATATCCTTAAGTGATCTGATTGCTCTAACTTGTGCTTCCATATTCTTAAAAATTATTTGAAAAATTGCAGACTGCTAGATTTATGTACTATTGCTGCTATAGAAATACATGGAAACTCAAAGTTTCCATGTATTGCAGATTTGGCTACTATTGCTGCCACAGATTTGAGCGCACATACCGGTAACCTGCTGTTTTGAATCCTGGAAATTGTCAAATGTTAATGTGCACGTGCACAGGTGAAATACAGAGCTGGATTATTGTCGAGTTTATTTTAACATGCTCTTAGCACAAACCAAACTGATTATTTAACTACTATAATTTAAACTTCAGTGAATCAAGATTGATAATGTATTGATGAATGCAATCTATATTTGTTCATTTTATACGATAATGGAAAGGACTTAAATACGGGGAAAAAAATGTGATAGGGAGACTGTATTAAACGCTCTTAAGACTGGTTGCAGTCTGGGTGCTGATAATTACCCGAGCGAAACCCATTCATAAATACCTTCTGGTAAAAAAAGTCAAAAATTATAAATTTTCCAATGATTTCATTCAACAAAACACCCCTTTAGCTATACAATGGTAAGGCCCTCTGGTAAACAACTCCTTATGCGGAGATTGGCGCGCACGTCGAGCGTACTGCGTGATGTGGCGCAGAATGCAGATGTACCAGTGTAGTGTGAATTTAGGAGTATGAAATACTGACTCACTGGTTGTATTGCACATGCCTACGAAAGGATTGTGAAGAAGCAACCAAAAGAAAACGTGCTGGCACCGGATTTCATAGGAGTCCAAATTTCATGTGACACTGCAAAAGTGTTTAAGACCAGCCAGCCATGTCTTTATCAACAAATTAAAAGCGGCCACGTGATGGGCTCTCGACCAATAGGAATGGGTAAACTGTCCATGGTATGTCCATGAATGCCAGATGTTAACAATGACACTATTCACACTAACATATACATGTACATATCAAAATAGACAGTTGCCGTACATGTGTAGATGACACAACGGACACTGCATTTGACTTTTTGAGTTTGAGTAGACAGCACATCAAAAATAATTTCAGATGATGAGTGTACAGGAATACAGGATGAAATCACTTTTTTTTATTGTAAGCAAAATGAAAAACCAAGTGCATGACAAGCACACCGTGTGAAGCTGACACATTTAAAATGCACTTTCATGCAATGATGCACAGTTGTTGAGGCAAGGCTAAGGAGAGCTAGTACATGTATGCTTCATGTTTCATTACTAATATAATTACTACACTTGAAATGCTCACATTAATGTCTTCATTGATCGATCATTCTTGCTGAAAAGGAAGCACAAATAGTTTGGTACAGTTAATTGAATGTATGAAGCTCTGTGTGAAACTTTCCTTTATATAACCATAAAAGAGGAAATTGTCGCACTCAAAATTTGCCTATAGATGCAACTGCATGCTCACATATGGGCAATTCCACCGTTACGGACGTTACATTCAGAGGCGACTAGAAACTTTGACAAACCAAAATAACATATTTGGGGTCAAAGCAAATTTTATTCACTCGGCACATTTCAGACTTAGGCCCAAATGTATAACATGGTATAGTAAAACTAAGAGGTAACCTAATTAATTAATTAGACATAATCGCTGCTAATGAGCGTTACGGACGTTACGTGTTTTGACAAGGCTTTTCAACATTTGGAATGTATTGGTGAAACTCTGTGAAGTTTCTTGCCAAAGCTTTTTGAAATAACTATGCACTAGCAGTTGTCACTTCACTCTTTACAAACATGGATGACCACTTAGAAAAATCCACTGTGATGTTGGAGAAAAACCCAAGTGTTTGTCATTACGGACGTTACATTGTAGTGTTACGGACGTTACGCGTGTGAAATCGTGATGCTCCAAGATTACCAGTCATGTTTTTTCCAGCTGTGAATATCTTTTTTCATCCTTTTTATGGTGTACCACCAGCACAACATGTGACTAGAAACCTTCTTGTAAGAAAATGATGGTGATGATGGTGATGGTGGTGAGGAATTACGTCAAAATGTCACTTTTTTATCATTGTTTTGGTATAAAACTTCCTGTTGAAATACCTGTAAATGTCAGTGATTGCTTACTTAATGATAATCTTTCTTCAGAGAGTAGCACATTTCAAATTAACATTGACCATGTAGGCCTATCCTGTAGTATTTGCAATGCAGTAATAAGAGTGTCCTCCATCTGAAACAATTCAGGTCACCGTCATTTAAATGTTAGGGTATACCTACCGGTACATGTACATACCGGTACATTAAATCGGTTCATGTGCCAATTTGAAAACATTTCAATACATTTTACAATTTGCATTCTTGTAGGAGAAATGTGTGAATTTATTTCAATAAAAGATCAGTTGCTAATGTTGTTAACTTAGAAATAAAAAATTCAATGGAAATGCATTACGGACAATCGGGACTTTAGTCAGACGGCCGACTTGAGCGATTTGACGAGTTGTACGATGTCGGTTTAGCCGGAGTTGAATGTACTACATGTACCTACTGCAATCTGGAGGTTCAGCCAAATTATGCTTCCATTATAACAGTCTGTAAGAATTGTGAACAAACACATTTAGAAACATTGTGGAAATCTTCCAAATTTGCTCTACCGTACTGAAAAATACAGTACCGGTAACTGTTGTTTGTATCATAAGTTATAAAATTTAGTGAAATGGCTCAGCTAAACAAAGCTAACCACTCCGTTCACAAATACCCCCTCACCGGCAAAGAGAGTACAGTTGGGGGTGACCGACCGACGCTATCTTGCCTGACTGCAATTTTGCCGTGATGCGCGGCCGTACCATACCACTGCGTGTATGTAGTACAAATCCCCTGTGTACAGTAACGTGCGTCACACACTAAGTACAAGGGACGGTGCGCGCCAACCAGCTAAATGTCCCGCCCATGGGACATTGTTGCTAGGTAAAATGGCGCCCTCTTTCGCTGGTGCAAGGAGCCCACTGACACTTTAGTCCAGATAAAAACTTCTGAAAAAGTATTAATCAAAATTCACTTACATGTACTTTGCATGTGTGCTTGTCAGTTTCAAACTTCAGCTGTGTACATGTATGTACATGTACAATGTACATGCCTGAGATATATGGCTCTTATACATGTAATTATAACATTCAGGCCAGGAGGCAGAACATTTTTACAAATGACCTAGATTATGTGCACATGGGGTCATTTCATATTTTAAAAGAGAGATGTGAATAAGGTGCATAGTGGAGGGTGCATGAAAGGTTCATTTGTATGCAGTACAATGTGTAACATCCGTAACGTATATATGCAAGTATAATGTGTAACGTCCGTAACGTAACATCCGTAACAAAATTTTGTAACGTCCGTAACGCTCGTTAGCCTAGATCTAATTATTGGAATTTCAAGTTTCATTCTGCACAAGGTAACCCTTCAGAAACTAGCTTTAAATTTGTGGTTTGGAAAAAATCACTTCACTGGATACAACTGTAGAGGAAAAAAATGTTCAAAACGTTACGGACGTTACGGTTGCCGCGGAAAAAAAACCACGTAAATATGATTATTCATAGTGTACTTATGCAAATACAAATCACATTTTTTCCCCTAATTTTTTGGAGAAGGTTCCCTGATGACTATTTCAAATATAATAAATTCCAAAAATGTTTTCATCTTTGGTAAGCTATTAAATGTTAAAATTTTTCAATTTTTTTCCCCAAATTTTTGAAATTTAACAAGTTACCATGGATACATATTCAGACGTTGAAAAAAAAATGAAAACGAACAAATTTAGGCAATATTAGTGCATATTCATAAGGTTTAGGTATCCCCCTCACCTGCAAAAGGGAAACAATTTGAATAAGTTCCATTTTAAATTTTGAGGGTCATGTCAACTTTGGCATGGAATTGCCCATATGCATTAAAGTGTTGTCATTTTATGTTGTGACTGCATGTGGTTGTGACAACTTACAGAGGTAGACTTCTCAAATCGGATGTAACCCCACCCAATAATACCACAAAAAGCCCTTAATTCCATCACTATCTTTCCAGACGCCCAACAACTGCCATTGTGTGCTACAATGTACTTCAGTGCCGTATAACAATGCACGAACATACTGTAAAGTCGAGTACAAAATATACATGTTACATGTACATCAAAAGTCAAGAAGTCCGACTTGATCAATCTGCCATGAGCACATACCCGCGCCCCCCCCCCCCCCAAGTGTGAGATCCCCTCCCCAGCGTGTGAGATCCCCTCCCCAGCCTGTGTGCATTTATTCATCAATGCACATGCAACATCATCACTACGCATAAATTAGAAGACTCGTTCATTTTTTTCGGTAGGTATGGAAGATTGGAACACATTCTGCAAAGGTTTAAACATCTGACTGAGAGTTGTGCATATTTGAAACATTTTTTGGGGGGGGATACTAATTTTAAGTAACATTTTGTCTCATTGAAATTGTGACTTCAAATGAATTACATGCAAACCAAAGGTTTTTTTAACATATCATTGTGGCAAACCTGTAAAGGATGTTGGGGTCCACTGATAGCGCTGCGTGTTGCGCATGCGCACAGCTGGTTGAAAACATTCAAACATACTTGTACATGTATCTGTACATACATGTACCCTCGTACATGGGTTGCGTGTACATTCCTTCACAAACCTCTGGCTGTGCGAATACGCAAACCAGGCTGATGAGGTGTTAAGAATGAATAATGCATGTGGCTCAAAAGCAATCTACGTGCATATTTCGAATGAAAATGCTGATTCCCTCAAATACTGCCCTCTGTGATTGGCCGCTACCCAAATCTGTAGATTAACTCACAGACTGTCTCTTCATCTCAAATAGCTTTGTAGCTGCATAAGATAAAAACTAGCTACAAGAGTTTTTTTTTAGTTAGTGTACTGTGCTAGTGATCTTGACTTGACTGACCTGACTCATGGAGCTTCTCAGCAGATAATATTGTTAAGCAAAAACCCCTGCCAGTCAGTCACAAGCAACATACATTGCAAAGCATTGACGCCAATAACTATTTCTGCTGGGTTCATATTTTCAGTGCTTAGTAAGGGAATAAATGTGTGCTCCGGAGGTTTTTATCACTCGTTTAATACCGCTTAGAGTCTGGGTGCTGATAATTACCCGAGCCGGAGGCGAGGGTAATTATCAGCACCCAGACTCTAAGCGGTATTAAACAGAGTGATAAATACCGACCGAGCACATATTTATTCCCATTCATAAATACCTTATCCGTAAAAAAATATCAAATAATTCGTTCAAAAAATCCCGATTTTGTTCAACAAGTTCACTTCATGCTTTTTGAAACATCCCTCTAGCAAAATAATGGAGTGTTCAGCTGGCGAGTAAGATTTAAACAACCCTTTTATGGAGATTGACGCGCGCGTAACATGTTCTGCGCGATGTCACGCAGAACGCACCTGGGGCGTTGCGTTTTGAATTTAGAACTATAAAATTCTGACTCGCTTGTAGTGTTGCGCATGCCTACGTGAGGATTGTGAACGTTCAACCAATGAAACGGTAAGAGGCACTGGATTTTTAGGAGTCCACATTTTATTGTGACACTGGAAAAGTGTTTAAGACCAGCTAGCCATGTCTTTATCATCCGTTTAAGACCGGCCACGTGACGGGCTCTCGACCAATAGGAATAGCTAAACTGTCTGAGGTATTTATGAATACATTTTTGCACGTAACAACTCCATGAAGTTGTATTTAAATGTGTGAAGTGAACATTTTAAAAGTGTCAAAAACAGTAAAATAATTTGTCTGGCAATCATTATATTAGGTATGTAAAGACAATAATTGGTTAGGCACTGGACAGGAGAGTCAGGTTGGCGTAACGGTACTTTCTTCGCCTTCCACCGCTGTGACCCAGGTTCAAATCCCGCCTTGGCCAATATGTGGATTGGGTTTTCAGTCCCTACCTGATTCCGTGGGTTTTCCCCAGAATATTCTTCTGGGGTTTTCCTCCCACCTCTAAAACTGTAATTTCTTCTCATCGTCTCGTCTCTACAGGTTTCATCAGGCTTGCGAGCTACAGTGCCAAAGGCGCTTTTGAGGAATCCTTGGTTTCATTACCAGAAATAAATAAATAAATACAAATATATAAAAATACTTCCTTTAAACAATGTGCTCTACCAGTCCATGTCAATGTAATTTGATTCCAAAAATACAAACTATATGATCGTTAATAACTCCAAACCCTTCAGCTGCTCTTTATTTTTCAGGTATCAAAATGTCCTGGGGGTTGTGTTACAACGGATAATGTACATGTAACCAATGGATATTGTAT